GCAGTTGCTGCAATGGAACGAATTCCCAGCTGCGATGACCCATCTCGAGATGTGCAGCAGTCAAATTGCTTTAGTAGCCAGTGTCGGTGCACAGGGCTCAAGAATTCGTCATGTGCAGGTATAACAGTAACAAAGCATGTCCCAGCTCAATTCTCTTCCCTCGGAAGTACTTAAATGCCTAGAATACAGAAAAGGGAAAAAGCTACGAATCGGTGAATTAATTCGATCGGCCAACTCCTAATTCTCTACTTCACTGTGTTTTTTGGTTTAATTTTCTTGCTGGTGGCTAAACATGGCGCATCTAAAAGATCCCTGCATCTTCGTGCTCTTCATAGGCCTGTTGGTAGACAGTTTTGTTGCCTAATTTGTCTGGTTTCGCTAATGGCGCTCTAAATAACTTAAAATTCACCAGCTAGAGAAACAGAAATATCAGCTTACCCTGCTCAGCTAATTATCGATTCATGCTCAGGAAATTTTAATGTTTCAGTTGCAACAAAATCGCATAATGACTCTCGCTGGAGAGCAAATCCCGAACTCAGTCGAGCACCTCAATCTCAGCGATAACTCAATCCAAACTATCGCTAATGGCACATTTCGAAGCAAAACAGCATTAATGAGTGTAGACCTACGAAACAATCAGTTGGGAAACCTTGAATTATCTGCGCTTGTAGTGGATGGACTTACAACCGGTCATCCCGTGAAAATATTTGTTGCTGGCAATCCATTGGCATGTAGCTGTGAAATGGACTGGATCAGAAGTACTAAGGAAGTGAGTTCATGGCCATTTTTTCAACCGTTTTCACCAAACAAACCGATTTTTCTTGGTATAACAAAATTGTTCATGCAGATCGAGTAGAAGAATTAATCTCTGTTTTGAACGTCTTTAGATAAAAATCACAGAAATTCATGTGTATGGAACCCTGACTTTTTATCGCTTGCATATTCTACTTGTTAGTTGTAAGTGAAGATGTAATTTCCAGGACAAATCCCTCTTGGACATCGTTGACGGTAACCAGGCCAACTGTGTTCATCGAATTCATAACCAACAAATCACTCTATCGACAGTCGACAAGAACGATCTACTTTGCCGCTACAAACAGGTTATTTTCTACTGCACACCGCTTCACTCATATCGTATTCCCAATTATCATAAATATTCAACATAATTTGCGTCGGAATTTCCTGCGACAGTGGAAGAAGGGCAATTTTCGCACAAAATACCCCATAAGCAAAAGTGCCGGGAACTGATCATCTATCGCATAAGTAGATGCAGCAGAATCGAGCTATGAAAAGTTCAACGTAGTACAAAGGCCAGGGTATCAGGCCACCGGGTTGAAATAAAGTAGCTAGCATAAGCTACGCGCATAACAAGAATCGGTGCTTCGAAGGCCGTTATGCAGCCGTTTAAGTCGATCAAGAATCCCTTCAAGAACGGTAAAATTTTGCAGATTTGCGAGCCGAACTGCATCTGCTGTCAGTACGGCAATTGCGACTGTAAATCGCGATGTCCAGATGGCTGCCAGTGCTTCCATGACGCTACCTATACAACAAATATTGTACGGTGCTCATTGTTGAGTTTGGCCGATCGCAAGAATTTCACACCAAAGGTAATTTCAAACTGACATCGTGTAATATAGAACAGTCCAGATCAAAAAGCGGGACAGAAATTGAACAGCAAAAAATGAAAGTCTTCGAGGGGAGGTCACAGGTTTCGCATGGATAAAATCCTGTAAAAATCTAAGGAGTAAAACGATGAGCAATTTCGAATGCAGGATATGCCAATGTATGCGACGCATGTTCACCTGGAGCACATGGATATCCCAGTGATCAAAAGCCATGATTTCCTCGGGCGGACACGCCTTCTGGAGCTTCACTTCAACAACGCATCGCTACGCGAAATTCAGCCTCTGGCATTCAACACACTCTCTTCACTCCAGGTTTCGCATTTCAACTTTTTATTGAAAGAAAACAAGTAATTACCAGCACTGCTTGCATTATAACTGTCATGTCCAGGAATTACGCATGTGTGTACCCTTTTGACGATTGCAGTTACGCTAAATCCTCTCCTACCTTGACTATTCATCTTCAGTTTTTTCCATCAAGCGATTGCTTTCTCATGGGGAAAGCCTCAAAAATCATAATTTAGAAAAGAAGATACTGCCAGTCCTTCTTCCACTAATTTGACCCCTTTTGGCGCCTTACGTTTTTTATGGGTACTACACCACTCAATTTTTTTGAAAATTACTGCTACTTTAAAAAATCCTTTAATAACTCGCCAAGATTTACCAAGCGCCGCAGTGGCAGTGCCAAGCAAATTTTGAAATACAGAAGCAAAATTTTCATAAGCTATGTGCAAGTTTGTGCAAATATGTGCAAGTTGGTCACTTTAGAAAACAGCTTTCGAGGTTAAAAAAATTGCCGATACGGATCAGGCAGTTCGCTTTTGTAAAGAAGACCAGAAGTACATCAAATAATCACTGCCAGGCTCATTTTTTGTGGAAATTTGTGAGAAATAAAGAAGTCAAAAGCTGACGAGAGCATCGATATTACAGTTACTGGACCTATCAGAAAATCATTTGATGCGGTTGACCGGCGACGAACTGTACCGAACAAATAAAATAACTACTTTGCTCCTGAACGACAATCAGCTAACATTACTGGGCGATCGGCTCAACGATGTGATGCCAAAACTGCAGACAATCAGCTTACACAACAACAGATTACAGGTAATGATGGAAAAGCTCAATGATTAATCAGATTTTTCTGATCTTCAAAATTCCTGTGTTTTTCAGAAAAATTTTTTACTTTCAAACTTCTATAAGCCAAACGCATTTTATAGGCCTTAATTTCGAGCTCTAGCTTTTTTTACTGTTGTTTGAAAAACCTAGAAAGCTTCAAAGAATTTCAAAATTTTAAGGATTTACCACTGTCTGTGGAGCAATTTGGAAGGCAGCTTACAAGTGTTACACTTGGCTCAAACTTATTCCGTTGTGATTGCTCACGGCGATTTCGCGCACAGTTTTGGTTACCGCGGAATTTGGATATCGTTCGTGATGTACAAAATATTTTCTGTGTGGAAAATATCAGCAGAGCAATTCGCGAGAACGACACGACGGTACTTAGTCCTTACCCACCGAAT